CACAGCCTGGTTTTGGTTCTTGGTTCTGATAAAATGATGTTTTCTTGTATTAGCATGACAAGAAATTGCTTTCATTCATTTTCCTACAGGAGGTATTTGAGAATAAACTGTGAAATTGTTTTGTCCATTAAAATCTAACAGTTTGATTTGCAATGCCCCTCTGATTTACATAAACACACATCCAAAAACAAATATGAATAACCCTTATTCAAAGTTTGACTTTCAAACCACTCTAATAGGCTTCTTCTATTATTAAAATGTAAACGCGTAAATATTTGTTTCCTTTATACAACATTATATATTCAAATACAGTGTCCAATTACAAAATAGATTACAGCCCATTGGACAGATGATGCCTCTTAATTTTTTAATGAGCGATGTATCATCATCATCATAGAGGAGTAGACACATTACTCTAATACATTAATAACAATACAAGCACTTTTATGAAGGACTGCTCACACATTCTTTCTGTGCCTTATGAAAATATACCCAAGAGGATTTAGTCTTAAATGACAGCATTACTCTTGTTTCTCTTCTTTGTGTCACCCTACTTAAATAAGCATAGAAACATTTTATAAATCAGCAATTATAACTCCTCTGGTGGGAGGAGAGGCTGCAAATAATAATGAAAATAGGAAGATAATGAAAGACAATACAGTTAACGCAATAGTGATAAAATATAATATCTCTAGGGGGTGTTCTGAATTCTGTTTGATGACTTTTGCTGCTTACAGCTTCTCACATGTGTGGATTAAATGTGTTTCTAGGTCATATGATTTGGACACGGTTGGTCAGACCTTTGACTTTGGAAGCAATGACGAGCATTTTTCATTATTCTTTGGGGTCTTATGAACAAAATAATTCACTGATCAATCGAGAAAATAACTGCAAATTGATAGAAACTGAGAGGACGATTTGTGATTTCATAAGCCCATGGATGTGGTGAAACCTCAAAACTGTTTGTGCTGTCTATTCAAATATGATTTATAGTAATATAAACTACTGCAGTTACTTGTTTCGCCCAGAAAACATTCTGAATATGATCTAGTCCTTTCAACAGTAATGCAATCAACAGCAGGATATTTGTAGCTCTTCACTGTTCACTGTTATTCTCATTGAATCTCTTCATTAGTTTATATTTACACCTGACAGTGAATGTGAGACAATTCCCATGGAGATTCTGCAAACCTGGTGATGTGTTCTCAGAAGCTGAACGAGTCTGACACGGTTTTAAATGATCCATCTAAATTGTGGGCCTGTAAGATCTCATTAAGCTGATGACAAACTGTTCTCTGAAATCGCTAAACCTCTGAACAGCACCGGAACCGTCTGACACCGAAGGGCCCCACCAACATGAGCTGATCAGGAGGTACAGTGAGTGTCTGTGCTTGGTTCCCCAGGAGAGAGCATGTGAGTGCACAGACTGCTCAACACACATGAGCATCACCAGGGACGAGGGAGGAAACTCAACAGGAGTCTATACTGTCATAGGGTCATGGAAACGCCACAGTACGGCTGGTATTTCAGGAGTCACCCAGGGAGAAGTCTTTCCTCTGGGACAGATAAGCAGGGACTTGGAACTAGACCGAACTGAAGATAAACAGGATGAACTGAGTGAAACACTGAGTTACACAAAGGACAGAACTGTAAGAAGACATGAGATACGTTTAAGGGGTCAAAACATTGCATATAAAACACTATTGATAATGCAACGATGTGATAATTATAATAGATTTACTCTGCATAGATTCACTGAAGTGTAAAACTTTGCTGTTCAAAATTACCGTTTCAGCGGTAAAGTGAACCTTTTCTCTAACTCACGCTGATTTTTTTAAATAATCTACATGTATTTCCATTTTAGAAAAGAGAAAGAAAACAGAGTTCTTGGCAAAAAATTGCAGTTTCCCATCAATGAAGGTTTATTTTTGTTGTTTCGGTAGCTCGACACCTCAGACATCAAACAGATGCTTTGGTAGTGGAGATATGTTGCATTGAGGCCGCTCTTCAAAGAGCCCGCGATTCATTCAGTGAATACATTTTCACCAGAGTGTTCCCAGTGATCCTCTGAAGTGACCAGTTGCTCTCATGTTCACATGAATCCACAGACTGAACCGCAGAGATGTGCAGTGGCAGAAACACAGCTGAAGCCATTTCATGAAGCGTGTGTCTTATAAGAGAAGAAACTTCAACTGTCCTTCATCGACTACCACTATTCAAACAGGTAGAAAGATAAACATAGAAGTAACTGAGTGTAAAGTACTGTTCTACAATTACAAGTATTTTAAAATCCTAGCAATACAAAAGTATTAGACACAAATCCTAATATCTTACAACCTCTTCAATACCTACTGTTATCTTTAATCCATAACAAAAACTATGAAGCATTCATTTATTATTTATATTTACTCTTCATAGGCAGCAATTGTTATGACTTTCAACCACTTAATAAAGGCTGCCTTGATTTTGAAGGCAATACTACATACATTTACTCAGCGACTGTAATTCAGTACACATTTGTAATTTCTGTACTTTAATGGAGTATTCCCATCAATGTTTTTTACTTCACGTAATATTTTTCAGAGGCTTTTGACTTCACAGTTTAAATTACGAGTCAAAATATGAATACGCTAAAAACACATTGTATTTGATACATGTTGAGTTACTCAGCTGTACACGAAGTAGCTGAACATTAGTGATGATCCAACAATATGTCGCCTGTTATTCTGTCAAATCATCATTCTTAATAATGGTGACTTATGTTTTAGCACTTTTTGAGGGATGTGCTTCAGTACTTTTACTTTGCTTTGTAAAAGAGTATTTCTACACTGTGGTATTCAACACTTTTTGCTAAATGACTGTCAGTATTTCAGTATTGAGTAAGTTTACACTTGCTAACTTTCCTATTCACTGACCCAGGCTGAATGACTGTGTTAACTTTTCTGACATGAATGTGACCGGTCCCCAGGCCGGAGCAGTAACTCACCGCCCTGTGGAGCCTCCGCACTTTTCTTCCTCGGGGTTTGTTTGGCTCCTTCGCCGTCTTGTCGGCTCAGGACCTCGGACAGCGACTGGCGGGAGCTCTGCCTCCCGACCTGGATGGCCACGTTGAACCGGGCGCTCCTCTTCCGGGCCCGGTCCGTCTCCGGGGCGGACTGGCTCCTCTCCGGGTCGTGGTTCTCCGGCTGCGAGCCCACCTTCACCAGCGCGTTCCTCGTCCTCGTCAGGGCCGAAGTCACGGAGCCCATCGCCGAAAAGAAACTCGAACCTCAGCGTGAATCTGCTCCCGAGAGTTCACCTCTCATTTTCTGTCAAAACCTGTTGGAACTTGTCTCCATGTGTTAAAAACCTCTTTATAAACAGTCTGTGGTTAAAACCCGGCTCCTCTCCTGTCATTCACACGCAGGGAGCTCGACTCCGCTTCCAGCTGAGGTCACCATGATTTGATGGAAGCGCAGAAACTGAAAGTTGAAGCGGATCATGCCGGTGTCTCCCTCGGTTTGATCCCAGCGACAGACACGTCACATGGAGAAAGTTGACACTGATCTCTCGGGGCGAGGAGGCGACAACAAGAGGCTGCAATTAACCCGGTTTATTAAACGAGCGGAAACTGATCTGAGTTCAAACCTGATGTTGAATCACAGCTGATGAAATATATAATGTCGCCGGTCACCTTCCTGCGTGTCACCGACAGGTGGCGGTCAAGCACAGCAGGTTTTCATCAGAGCTGCATGAAGAAGCTTGCAGAAGTTTGAAGTTTGTATCGTTCACTTAAAAACAGATCAGGCACAAACACAGTGATTCTGTCACGTGCAAAACTCTGTTAACCAATGGGTTAAACCTAACCTAGACTTTATAATAATAACAACTTTATTTGTATTACACCTTCCATAAAATGCAACAAACCAATATCACATCAAGGCCTCTTTAGTTGCTGTAAAACTTAATATTGTATATATATATATATATATATTAAAACAGAGAAGAAAGAATATAATGAAAAAATATATAAGAATGCAGAAGAGAGAAATACAGTGAAAGGCTGAAGCAACAAGGTTTAAAGTTTCTTTTAGAGGGATTCCCTGAACCAGCTTCTTAGAACAGTAGAAACATTTTTTTATATGTTCTTTGGGGGTGAGCATCAGTCGCACAGGTGGAGACCTTTCTGTGGGTAAATCTTAAACAGACCATCTGTGCAAGTAACTAATACATAAGTAATGATGCATATGTCAGAAGCTGAAGTGATTTGCAGAAAGAAAAACACAAAGACTAGAAAATCTCTCAAATGCTGAAAATAACTAACTATACTAAAGTAGGCATCGAATGTAATTTCATAATGTATTTTGCTACGAGCATATTTACTCCTATTCATTTAAAAAATCATAATTTCTTTCTCTATGTGACTTCATTTATGATGCTTTATCTAAATTACAGGAATATCTGTAAACCTCTGTGGATCAATTCCTATTTTCTTTACTGCCAGCATTTATATTTTATTTATTGCAATCCCAAAAAAAGTAATGTTTGGTATACAGTAATTATAGGGAGAAAATAATTCTGACCTTTACTTGGATGTAAGATTCAGTCAGAGAAGTAGTGCTGTCAAATGCATGTGCTGTAAAGGTTGAGCTTGAGTGGATTCTTGACAATGGAAACAGGCCAGAAAACAATTTCACTTCAAGGACTATTTCATAGCTGTAAAATTTACCATTGTATATATTTTTTATATACTTAATGTAATTTCTAGAAATTGTATTCAAATGCATATTTAATCTGTTATTAGTGGTTTCACTTCTTATTTTCAAAATCATTACAGTAAAATTGTAGAATATTTTTTAATAATTGAGAAAAATTAACAACTCAGTTGATTCCAAACAAGGACACGCTTCCAGGCATTATTTAAAATGCCTTTTTTTAATATGATGGATTATCTTAGCGACGCAACATCATTACCTTAATGTGTTGTAAGGTGTTATGAAGAAATACACCATGCACAGTACTTATTTTCAATCTAAACGGTTTATTGCTGCATACAGGCAATTGTGACATCTTCAGCATTCAGGTTTCCTGGAGAGTGCATGCTAAATAGTAATCAAAAATACTACTTTGGTTACAAAGAAAGATTTTTGCAGACCTCAGTGAGGGTTTCTATGTTGTGCTGATTTCACTATTGTGTCTGAACAAATGTGACAAGAGACTTTCAGCAGAGGAGGAAGCAAAATACAGTCTGTGTCGACTAACAGGCTCATCACATGTAAAGGCACTTCTCGAAGCAGTTTGCTCTTTGTGTGTCATTTGCTTGCTCATAGCTACAGTGAACTGTGTTTTCTTCATATTGCTTCTGTTGGCTGTTTCGCAAAGACAGAGATGCTATCACTCCATGTCGTCATGGTTCTGGGTCGACTCGTTGATCACCTGGAAAAAGATGCAGAGGGCAGGGAAACGGTCAGAAGCCAGAGTTGTGTTTGAGCCCAAATGACAGGAAAGTGCTTCAGTGATTGGAAATCACTTCAAGTGGATCCTACCTGACCATCCCTAGTCTCAATGGTCTTGATGAGAACCTTCTTAGTTGTTGTAGTTTCGACATGAGGTTTGGAATCAATCATGGTTTCTAAAAAAGAGAAACAGTGTGTTATAGAATCATCTGGTATATACTTCTCCTGCGGTGAAATCAGCATGCAGAAAGTAACTGTACCTCTCAGGTTGAGAGATGAGAAGTTCGGCAGGGGAGCGGAGATTCTGAAAACGGAGAAAGAGCAGTCAATCAACAGATGTGTATTTGTTGAATGTAATGAAAGTTCATATCTAGACATTGGAAATGTAAACATTTCGAGGATACAAGGTCTCGTCCCGTCACCTGCTCTCCTCCCCTTCCAGCAGCTTCCTGTAGGTGGCAATCTCGATGTCCAGGGCCATCTTGACATTTAGGAGGTCCTGATACTCGCGGAGGTGACGGGCCATCTCGTCCTTCATGTTGTGAATGTCCTCCTCCAGACGGCTGACTGTGTCCTGGTAACCGTTCATCTCCAGGGAGAAGTTCTCCTCTGTCTCTCTCATCTGGCGCTCCATGGACTCATTCTGAGACGGCAGCCAAGAAGGAAACAATACGACACTCAGGCAGTGAAAATAATAAATAAATAAAAAGACTCAAGACTGATCTTTTTTTGATTTTTTGACCCTTGGGAATAAACCCTCCCTGATTTTTCAGACTCATGCAGATTATTTCGTGGCCAGTTTGTCTCCAGCTACACAATATATCAATTTTGCACCATTATTGTTTTTAGGGACCTGATACTCACAGTGCCTTTGAGGGAATCCACCTCACAAGTGAGGGCCTGGACTTGGCGTCTATAGTCATTAGCCTCCTGCTTGGCGACTCTCAAAGCATCATTATTCCTGGCTGCAGCATCAGTGAGGTCAGCAAACTGTCAATCGCAGGGACAAAGAGACAGACTGAGTTGTATAGAGAGAGAGAGGGAGGGATGAAGAAGTCTACTGTTCAACAAATGAGGAGTCAGAGGCTGAGGGAGAGTGAACGTGGCAGATAGCGTGAAACAAGTGAATTGTTAAAGATGTGGCCAAAAAAGAGACTCAAGGACATGATGCTGCAGTTTGGTGGCTGACACAGTGTTAGGGAATCACTGCATTGACTAAATACAGGAATATTGAGAATCCAGTGTTCAAAAGAAAGCTTTTTTATGAAGGAGAAACAGTACTAGCATCTAAGTTACACCTGCACTAACTGATATTCTAGACACATGGGGAAGTGGAAATATACTAACTTTGCTTGATTACTCATGTAACAGTCACAGAGCAACATTCTTGTTCAGTTGAAGCCACACCTCAGGCCACCAGAAACATGTGAGACCAATTTTCACTCTCTTTTAGCTCTGCTTCTGGTCTCCATCAGCTCCAGAGGAAAAATATCTGTCTCTGTAGCTGTTAAACACTTCACTGTGTTCATCAGATAGTTGTTAACTGTCTCCTCTGTCTTTCTTATGTATGAAAACAGCTGGTCGAAAACAGTAAAGTCAAGAATCATAGACGTAAAATGCTCAGTAGATCTGAGAGGAACTGCAGGTGATAATTCTCTAAAGGTTCATCAGAACAACTCTTTCACATGTAAGTGGTTGTGTGATCCACTAAAATTATTGATTTTATCTGCATTTTATTGATAAATCTTATTTATGCTGATGTACATTTCCAGAGTTGCTGTCATATTTCTTAAAATCTATATTGCAATGGTTTGATACTTCGTGGAAACTCCTAACCTTGGATTTGTACCATTCCTCAGACTCCTGGATGTTTTTGGAGGCCAGGCTCTCGTACTGCAGACGCACGTCCCTCAGAGCGGCTGTCAGGTCAGGCTTAGCTATGTCCATGTCCACCTGCACATGCTGCTGCTGCTGCACCTGACACTGCAGCTCCAGCATTTCCTGTGATAGAATCAATAATGTCTTTTATCGTCACCTTCACAATGACTTTACTGGCTCTGTTAAAGAATCTGAGCATTAGAGAAATCTGGTGCTTCACAGATTAAAAAATGCTTAAAATGATTCAGACAGGTTTTTTTTAACAAGTGTTTAAAATTAGCTGACATTGTTTCCGCAGCAGACTGAGTCAGCTCGGGCCACAAAACAGGGAAGCTCACCTCGTCATGCAGCTTTTTAAGGAAGTTGATTTCCTCTTGGAGTGACTCTACCTTCCGCTCCAGGTCCAGTCTGGAGAGGGCAGCATTGTCCACATCCTGTGCCATGACACTGGGTCTTAATAAGGTGACTTGTGAAGGTGACATGAATTATAAATTACATGTTTGCTGACACGGAGGAAAAAATCGCTCACCTCACATACTGTGAGGAGCATTCACACAACGCTCACGTACACAGAATGACCCACTGTGTACTGCGGCAAGGTCACGAGCACATGCATCCAATAAACTTTGACTGTAGACACATGACATGTGCCACTGCAGATGGTTGTAACGGTTAACCAGTGTTTCCTGGAGGTTTCCATGTTGTATACACTACATCAGCTGTGAGGCAATACTCTGTCAATACTGGAATTAACTCAAGTACGGCATTTTTTTAAACTTGAGTATTTTAAGTGTGTACTAGTTCTACTCCACTACATATCATGATGGGACTCATTAAATGGAGTCGGAGGCCACTTTTTGTATATTATCAAAGGCAAATCTATTTTTATAACTTCAGGCTATATTTTATATCTGTGGAAAAGGGTTGTGCAAAATTCATTGTGAGTGTTTCATGTCCTGAGTTTGATTCAGTGAAGGGGAGGGGCACTGTAGAGCACCAGAACCACACAGTCTTATCCAAGAAGGACTTAATCCCATTTATTATTTCCCAACTGCATTCTTAACCTGAAAATCTCTACTGGTTGCTCTGTTACAAATTAAGTTCTACTAGAAACTCTAATTTTATAAGTTATCATTTTATACCTTCCTTCAATTGTTCATGAGATGTAAAACATTTAATTGTACTAATAAAGATATTATTATATTTGATCTAATTCCAGTCGATGTCTCACTGCAGTACACTCCCATTCTGCTGGGCTTTGTCTGAGAGTTGGCAGGCTGCTAATTGAGGTATCAGCAAATGAAGCAGCTTTGGCCCCGGCTGTAATGCCACAAACAAAGTGCGCTATTCAGCAGGGTTTCCCATACCGGCCCGGGGCTGGAAGAGTGACTGTCTGCCTGACTGAGCGAGAGCTGACTGCCGGCCCTGCATTGTTGTTTGTGTGCCAGGACACAGGGACTTCCTTCCTGCTATTCTTATAGACGAGGACATGGTCTTGTAATGTATTGGTAATTTACTGCAAGCCTTGAAAAGCAGCACATGTCATTTTACTCACAGCTACTTATAAACTACACAAAGCACTGTATTTTGTGTAGCAGGTAGTTTTTTTATATAGTTTTTGTCTTTTTTTTGAACCATGACTCTTATGTGAATAATAGCACGACTTATTACCAGTCACCATAAAACCTGCAGTGACAGGAAACCATTTCTGACAAGTGTTTTTTTCCCCCCTCGTGTTGATGCTCTCCCACAACGAGACAGCTGGATCACATGGTGGCTTGTCTTCTCGCTCTGATAACCTCATTGGGTCCACATCATTGTTGTGCTTGAGTTCAGCTCATTCACTGTGACCAGTCAGACTTAAAAAGATCTCCTCTAACTGCAGGCCCAATTTAACTCCACACCCACAACTTGGCCTTTTGTACCAGGCCAGGGTCAGTTCTGCTCCACAGCTATTTTGGATCGCGGCTTGGAGCTGCTGTTGTGCCATCAGAGGAGCGCATCCCTGTCTTTGCGTCTCATGAGCGGTAATTAGATAAAGATTAGTGATAAGAAGAAAAAGGGGCGGCTACACCGCATAAGGTCACAGTGGTAATTAAGGTTTATCTAATCTCTTTGACATCACCTGTCAACAATTGGAGGGGTGGTTTTACCAGGAACAGTCATTTCTACTGGTCCAAACTAAAGCACATTCTCATTTTTATATATAAAACACAGACAGTTTGTCTGATGGGGAATGATTCAGGGGCGGATCCAGTGCCCCCGTCCAGTCAGTACTGACGATAAAACTAACAATTAGCTAAGAATTTGTATTTTCTATAAAGAAGTACACAATGTGCTTGAACAAGAGACAATTTTACAAATATATCCAATGTTGTGTGGCTTTACAGTTGGCCCTTGGGAGGAAATCGTGGCCCCTTTGATGCCCCCCCACCCCCCATTTAGAACTCTTCTACATCCACCACTGGAGTGGTTTATTTATGTGGATCATACTGTACCTGTCTGAAGCTCTGCATGTTAGACTCAGCCTCCTCACGCTGGGATATCTCATCCTGCAACCTGGACAGACAAGAGCAGGCATTTTACTTGAGCTACACTGGAATATAGTTTACACATGTTTACGCATGCTTCAATGGTTTTGCGCAGTGCCTGGCGAACATTTTTCCAGAGGCTCCCTATCTTGTGCTTCTATTAAAACAGGTTTACATACATAGAAAAGTGGCATTGGTATAATTAATCTGAATTATAGATACATAACAGATAGTAAAATCTCTCTGGAGTTTCTGGAACATCACACGGCAGAGGACAGAGAGGTGCCACGCCTCCTACTTCTCTCTCAGCCTGTCGATGTCGTCCGCCAGATTGTCCCGGTGAACCTCCACCCGGGCCCTCTCGTTGGTGAGCTGGTCCACCTGGCGCCTCAGCTCCCGCATCTCGTCCTCGTACAGATCCGCGACCCGGGACGTGCCTTTGCCGCGCAGCTGCTCCAGCTCCGCCAGCAGGATCTTGTTCTGCTGCTCCAAGAAGCGCACCTTCTCGATGTAGCTGGCGAAGCGGTCGTTGAGCGACTGCATCTGCGCCTTCTCGTTGGTGCGGTTCGCGATGAAGTCGCTGTTGATGGCGTCGGTCAGGGAGAAGTCCAGGTTCTCGGAGGCCAGCCGGGGCATGGCCGCGCTGCTCCGGAGCCGCTGCGTCTTCGTTGCGTAAACGGCCGGCGCGGTGGAGAGGCTGTAGGACCCCCGGGAGGAGCGCACCGGGCTGGAGAACTGGCGGCTGGTGAAGCTCCTCGGCGCGGCTCTCTCTCCACCAAACATCTTCTTATAAGAAGAGTGTCGAGACGATATGAACGACATCTTGTCAGTGTTTGTTCAGACAGTCAGTGCGCACAGCAGCGTCTGGTTCGTCTCTGGTACCTGCAGCATCAGCACAGTGCGCCTGGGAGGGCGTTCCCCACAACAGGACACTCTTATAGTCTCCTCCTTATGCAAATGGTTCAGCGGTGACTTGACTGACACCTTGAGAATCCAATCACAACAGGGAAAACACACTTTTCTTTTCTTCTCTCAAGCCCATAGACACAGATCCTGGATTAATAACTGGGCCACACTGTGCTTGTCCAGACCGGGGTGGGCAAAAGGTGCGTCCTCCCATCCAATCAAAAGTTTGTATTTCTTTTTCAGCTAATAGGAAAATGTTCCAGATGGTGCTAACACCGGTTCACACTTCTGATTGGATGTGCAGCTGCAGAGTGTGTGTTGGAGCAAAGCGTTTTACAAACTCCATCAGGGGGTGTATAAAATACATAGATGCTGTTTAGAGTTATACAAGGGGTGGACCTGGTCCTGAGTGGGTCCTCATCGCTCTACTGAGGGAAAAACATCTCCTGCTGAAATGGTTTAAACGTTCAGTGTGTGAGATTCAGGTGAAAGGATCTATTGGCAGAAACTGAATATAAAATAGTCCTAGTGATATTTTCACTACTGTGTTTCATCTAAATTGAACGAATTTTTGTTCTCTTTACTCTAGAATGGCTCCTTTATATTTAGATACTTTATATTTACATCAGGACCGGGTCCTCTCTAAGGAGCCCCACTTGTTTTTTACAGTAGCCCAGACTGGACAAACTAAAACCTTTTGAGTTTTTATGACAACTGAAGGTTTTGTTTCATGTTTGGATTTTACCAAAGGAAAGAGGAGATTGATGATGGATGGACGGATGATGGATGGATAGCAGGCTAAAACATTGTGGGGTATAAGGATATGTGAGGCCTGGCATGTGTCAGGAGACAGTAGACTGGGTTATTTATGGAGCTGTAGATGTTTTCTGTTTGTGTTTTCTAAATCTGTCCACACACAACAGAAAAAACTATAAATATGGATCTGAAACTCCAACAACTATTAAATCTCCTCATTAATTGGGACCCAGAAGAAGAAACAGTGGCATTTGAAATGAGTTTTGAGTTTATTCCCCCTTTTTCCCAAGTTTTCAATAAATTTGTGTCATAAAATTAAATCCATGCACCACCCATGCTTAGTTTTATGTCAGCTGGAGCGCGTTCTTTTGTGTACTGGAGCGTTTACAGTTTATCATGGTGTGTGTGCAAGTACAGTATGTCCAAGTCAGCAGCTACACGATCATTAATCAGGTTTAACGAACAAGAGGCAGAACACATTGAAGCTGCTAGACACAAATCTGCAACGATCACACACAAAGACTCAGAGAAAACACACAAATGAAATCTTTCAAGACTGGCAGGTTTGACGCAGCCTTGGAGCATGTGAGTGCAGTTTAAATGAAGTCTCTTATTTCTCCTGCAACATTTGAATAAACATCACAGATATCAACACAAACTAATCTATGTCCAAAACATCTCTCTGTCTTTTTCTGCCTCTCTTTCTCCTCTGCGGACAGAAGTGTGGCTGCTGCAGTGCTGCTGGACGTGCTGAGATCCAATGATTGTGAGCCAGTGACACCACATCTTTCAAACACACTGCACTGATGCTGCTGCGTGCACCGACAAACAGAAGAAGCAGTCACTTAGGGGGATGTGATTTGCTTTGGTGACGTTTGTGGACCAGATAACAGCCTGGGTGCACAAATATTCCTTTCACGGTGATTTTCACATTCTTTCCCGGTGGGTGAGGGCAGCTGCAGTGATCTGAAGCTGGCTTGTTGCCCTTGAGATATGACTGTGCAGGGAAAAACCCTGCTACTTTGCCAGCTGATCTCGTCTTTGGGAAGAATTAACGTGGAGAGATTAGTTTTAAACCTCAAGGAGAAGCTTGACGTTGTCATGACAACAAGGACAGTGTAAGGGTCTTGATTTCACTATACATCCTTAATCTCATACTGTGAGAAAGAAAATCCCCAAAATGTCGGTGTGGATAAAGGAATTGTTTTGTATGTTCATTCTTGACTGAGGAATAATTGTGAAGTAAAGTCATAGTGGTAACAAACTATCCTCTCTAAAACGAGTAGAGGTTTAAGTGTAAAATGAAAATGTTCAAACAAAGTACAGATACTTCAAACTTGCAGTCAAGTGACATTACTTTGGAATGTACCAGCAGATAAAGGAGGCACTGTGACTTTTTCTTTCTTTCCTCAGTCACTTTAAGAAATCTAATAAAGTCACGGTGTCAGGAGTGAGTAAAGGCACAGCCACTTGGTCTCAGCTTTGAAGGTTATTTTCAATCCAAATCTGTTGCGCAAAGGCCAGTTTTAAAGGAGTAAAGCAATAATTTATAACACGTGTGGTCACCACTGGGTGTGATATTTGAAAAGTAAGATTGTCTGGAAGGTTCAGGCATTTTATCAGAACTGTTCTTACTTCTTTAGTTTCCAAGAATTGATTGATTTTCTGCATCGCTCTGTGCGACTCATGGGATGTTACTCCAGAACTGTCTGACAGTGAAAAACTGCAGTTTTCATAAGAAGTGTTATCCTTCTATACTGCACTGGTAGTATTGAAATACTGCCTTGTAAGTCCTGTATTCAAACATATTTACAGCAAAATAGTGCAAAAATATATTTATAGTCATGATTCTTTTTTAACTGTTATCAAGCCATAAATATTATTTCAAGTCAATTACAAATTTAAATTCACAATCACACATTAAAATATTTATTATTTTGATTGAATCACATGTTTTGTACATTAAATCTTAAATTAGAACAACTAATAATCCAAAGTGTGAAATATTTGTCTCAAGAAGAATAAAGTAGCGTGTAATTAATCAACTTCAAAGTAACATCCAAGTGCCTCAAGATCTGTACTGAAGCACAGAACTGAAGTGGACGCTCTATTAACTAAAGTAATTAGAACTTAAACAACTTATCCAAAAGGAATTAAATTACCACATACACAATAGCAAAGTATTATAAATGAAGAAATAATTACACAAATGCAGTAAGGCATGTGTTGCTGGAGGGCCGACACAGGGGCCACAGTACGAGTAAACAGTGGGACCCCATCACTAAAGCCGGCGATGGAAATTCACATGATCAACACTCACTTGCAGGCAGCTGGGGGGTGGGGGCCATAAAATTCCTGCTCCCAGGCCCATTATGAGGGCACTCTGCCAGCGTTCGCCGCAGAGACAGACAGAGGAGCCCGGGATTGTCACACACAGAGCAGGGATTGTGTATTGCTGATCTGTCACCTAACTGCAGCAACAGAATGCCCGCACTCGGCCGTAATTATTGTTTCTGCCAGAGCCTCAGTTTGGGCCAAACAGCTCACATTCTTGGCAAAGTTTGGAATTTATTGTTTTTTTCATTTATGTTGCTGAGGTTCCTCTTTTCTCTTTTGGCCCCACAGGGGGGGGACTAATTAAAAACACTGTACGACAAGAATCAAACGAGAGTCCACATCGGTTGGCCTGTGAATGGGACAGGGCAACAGTGAAGTTAAATCTTGTTTCTGGGTGTCATCACAACAAAACCTCAGGCAAGGGCAGAAGAAAAGGCGTCCTTTGTTTTGTCTCCCATGATGGTGAATCACCGACCCGCGCGCCCAGTAGCCATAGTAATCATCCCCAACGTTATTTGCCAGAGCTGAAACCCAGACAGAGATTCAGGGGCTGTCTGGTGTGAGGACATGAACTCTGACAGAAAATAAGTGATGCATTTTAAAGATTAAGTTCCAGATATTTATGTTGATGCGTCTCCATCTTTTTTTTCTGCTTCATGAGTTCCATCTGATAAATCAACCCTTTGTGGGTCATGACACAGCAGATTTAGTGAAGGGAGTGATTCTCTCACCCTGGTGAATGCATGGATATGTATTATAATTATCAGTGCCATCAAGTACTGTACTTGTGCATTTGTGTTGAATATAATCTAACTTTTTTTGATAGTTGATATTTTGACAGTTGATTTTTTATATTGTTAAACATTAAACCAGAGTCGCCTTTTCGGTATTTATCTAACTGGGGCCCCTCATTTCAGTTATCTGTGAGTGAGTGGCAGTTTCACCCAGGAGACATTCACCGATGCCTTCGTTTGATTTACATTATGAAGCCCATAAGAAGTCAAACTGTGAAATACTCAAATGTCTAACAAACAATAAATCCACAAATCAAATGCACATCTTTGAATGAGAACTTTCTCAGTGTTTTTCCCCCCAGGATCATGACAAACCTTCAGAAACATTTGTGGCCACTTGGAAGGAGCCCACCCCCTTGGCTTGAAACACCAAAGAGTAAATACATGTTCACTCCACCAACCTACATCTAACCAAGACTTTTACTCTTTATATTTTAAGGCTTTTATATGGAGGACTTGTGCTTGAGTATTTTTACTGAGGAAGTGGCTCTTGATAATCATCCTTCCGCTGATAACCATGAGGAATTCTCTCCCTCCTGCAGCATTTAGGTGTTTTTCTAATGCATACCGAAACCTTTTCTGTCAGTGATCAGCAAAATGAGCAGAGTGTGGACTGGTGTTCATTTCGGGGGCGACGCAGCTTGCACTGGATACCTTTCAACCATAGTAACAACACAGGAATTAAACTGCAGGGGCTATTTTCCAAATCTCCATGGTAACTGACAAAACCCTTGGAAAGTATCCAGAACGGTCACTTTGTAAAGTCTCGCTCTCTTTGTCTCACTCTTTTCTTTGTCTCTCTCTCTCTCTCTCTCTCTCTCTCTCTGTGTGTGTGTGTGTGTGTCTGCAGGGAGTGATTGGGTCAGGGTCTGCTGGAGAGGAAACACCCCTCAGACTCCAGTTTGAACCTCCAATTCCCTGCATTAGTATAAAAGCATCACATACAACTGGTTAAATATAAAATATAAATGTGTCCAAATGGATTATAACTGTCCACATTAACACCTGCTAGGATGTGGACAGACTTATTTAAAGGATAATGTCCTCCGGTCGTGTTCAGAGTGAGTTCAATCAGTCTGTCAGAGGCCATCACATCACAAGTGTCACTTACATATGTTCAACTGCATCGGAGAGCATCGCCCCGACCAAGTGACAGCTGCAGATGACACTCACCGTCTTCTGCCTGAAGACGACTAGACCAGAGTGAGACCAGAGTGAGACCAGAGTGACTGAGTGTGAAGAATAAAGACAGATACTTTGGCTATTGTTTCATGAATCAGAGTAATAATAATAAAGCACCGCGTTATTTAAATATGTTTTAAAGAACCACCCTATGAGTCAGGATGGTGTTACTCTAGTTTCAAGAATAAACAAGATATCATTAGCTTAAGGCTCACTCACAATTCACATGCCTCTCTTACTTAATAACCGTATGAAAGTCAAATGTCACCACGGAACAGAGACGCTTTGAGGCAATTGTTTATGAATGGGATTATTTTTTATCTCTCGCTCCTCAATGTAACTGTAATAAAGTGTATGTATACTCCGTGCTGCTGTTTTCATACATTTATTTTATTTTGTGCATGTGTATGCCTTAAAAAAATGCTTTGAAAAAAAATGCTAAAATATAAAAAGTCTGTGCTGTGGCTTTTGACTCATAACTGGATTTTAATGGTGAATTGATCATTCTAGTAAATGGAATAGTCCCACAAGCAAGTTCAAGACCTCAATCTTTTTCTGAAGAGTCATAATGCACAAGCTGATTCTTTTCTGATAATAAATTTGCATTCAGTTCTTTTACTTTCATGCACCGATATGCAGCACTTCAATTATTTCAATTTGGTACATAAAATAAATAAATTCTGAAGAACTTTTAAAATCTCAATGTTGGAAGGTACAAACATATTGAAATTACAAAGATTTGATCCTCTAATTTTACTTTAGGGTGTTGTCCTCATAGTTATCTCGTTTTTGTCTGACAACGGAGTTACCAACCGTGGGGCATGGAGTTTGAATAGTGTGGACATTTACAGAGCAGATCTCATGAAATCAAGAGTTTTTGGAGAGTGTTTTCAAAATGGAATGTTTAAGGAGTAAAAGTTAGGATATCTCCACGAGTGCACTTTTCTTTTTTTTATCTAGCTAAGACAAGTCTAGTGGAGACTTTAAACAATACATATGCAATTGAAAAACAAAATATTAGTTTATTGAATATTATAATATCCATGGCTTAGAAAAAAAACACATACAATAAAATATAACAGAAATTTGACAGATACATTATTTTCTATGTATTGCATTATATTCAGTAGAAAAATAGATGACATGTACTTACAAGTAACAGTACAGTGAACAGTGAAACAGTAAAAAACATGTTGTTTGTACTTGCTGATATTGTTATATTGTATTTTGGACTATGGATTTTATCACCATCATCATTAACACACACAAAAAGTCTGTAAACGATGTATTTCTGCACTGAAACTGAAATAAATGGCACGGGTCTGTAGCTCTGGCTGGTTTGCAAAGAAAGTTTATGCTAAAATGATTTGATGGCCTTCTAACTGTATCACAATGAATTCATCATCGTCCAGCATAGCTACACATTCAACCAGCATGAGTGAGCATCATTATATGACATATGATGTCTTGCTTTCATAGTATGGGGCAGTACTGTCCACATCTCACATGCAGTGTCTCCGGGGAGTCCTGTGCCTGCAGTGCACTACCTCCCCCACTAGATGTCCTTCTTGGCTGTGTCACAGCCGAGGACTCCCCCTCAGGATGAACTTTCCCATCTGGTAGTTTGAACTCAACTGATGTAAATGAAGAAAGACTGCCGGTTTTATTTGGCCGGGTTTTGGAAGTATCAATAATTGGGGAAACCCTGAAGCCTCTTCCCTTCCCACTGCTTGTGTCCTGTTTCACACTGTTCACACTGGAATCGTCCAGAAAGGGATCTGAATCACTCCCGTGTGGCATGTTGAAGTAGGTGCACTTTGGAGTTTGAGGCTTTGCCATATCCTCGAGCTCCGATGAGGATATGGCAATGAGGGCGTTGGACTGGGTTTGGTGAAGTGACAAATCTTCACCAGCGTTCTCCTGACCTGTATCTGTGGAGCTGCTGTCCACGTTACCGTACATTCCCATGGTGATCGGAGGGGACTTTCTTATGAGGTGGTTCTCCTTGAGCAGCCACCTCCCTTGATCAATCAAAACCCCATCCCCGGTGTCCTTCTCTGAGCCTACGCACTGTGCGGCCTCAGCTGCAGCTTCAGCGTCTGCCTTTAATGAGCTTGCAGCACTAAAATAAGACAGATCCTCTTTTGAGGCTTTGGTGTCTGAATCATTGGAAGAGAAACTCTCTTCACTTTTTATCCTGGAACTTTGTAAGACTTCTGCATTACTTGCAAGAGACAGTTTGGAGTCCACACGAGGGAAATCATTCTGAGGTGTCAAGGCAGGGGAGGATCTCTCTGAGGCCTCCTCTCCGCTATCTGTAACAATATCTACAGACTCCTGAGTTTTATACCCACCACTCTCTGAGGTATCTGGTCTGTAATCGGATAAATCAGACGTGTTCGGGCTGGGGAGACGCTTTAAGCCGTAAGAACTGTCCTTTCTTCTTCTTGGAATAAGAGTTGGCATAGTTTGTACAACTCGAGCGTAATCCTGTTCAATCCTGACGTTCCCCCGAGCGTCATACGTGAATGTGAGCGAAGACGACTGTAGGGCAGAGTTAACAAAGTCGAGTAACTCCTGTGATATTTCCACAGGATGTATCAGGCCGATGCTCCTCTCCTCATGATGCTCCCCTCCCTCGTCTGTTTCAAGATCATTGTCTGTTCCGTTGCCTTTAGCGGACTCACACTGCCCCTCAGAGGAATATTTGGTCGGTGATTCACTGTTACACTCTTCATTTGCTTCCTTGTGACTGCTCTGCTGCAAATAGGAAGCCTCTTCCAGCAGGTTTTTACAACCGTCATCGTCCTCAAAACTGTCTGCGTCTCCAGAAACATCTCCTTCTCCCACCTCCTCTTCTGATTCTTGTTTTTCCACCTGGTCTGATCCCTCATTTTCTTTGTAATCTTCCCTCTCCTCTTCAGTCTCAAACTCCTCTCCCTCATTTTCTTCTGACTCTTCCTCCAGACATTTTTCTATTTTCTCTAGCTCTTTTACACTCCCCCTTTCTTCTTCCTCCTCCTCATCTGTGATCACCCTTTCTTCTTCTGTCCTCTCAACCTCAGCATCATCCTCCTCCTCCTCTTCCTCTTCATTGCTTTCTATGCAAACCACCTCCATTTCTTCCTCCTCCTCTTCCTCCTTCTCCTCCTCTTCCTCGACCACCTCTTCAGTTACATTATCTACCCCTTCTTCCTCATCTTTCTCCTCTTTAACTTTATCTGCTCCTTCATTTAAATCCTCACTAACCTCATCCACTTCTTCTTCTATGTCGAAGATGTTTTCTACCTCCTCTTCCTCTTCTGTCTCCTCAATAACCTTCTCCACCTCTTCCTCTACATCATACTCTGTAACTGCTTGTCCATCAATCTTTTCCTTCTCTTCTTCCTCCTGCTCTTCAACAAAATCTCCATCTGTCTCCTTAATGTCATCTTCTTCTTCTCCAGTCTCCACTTGCTTTCCCTCATCCCAACTTTCTTCCTCATCTGCTTCTTCTTCAACCCCATCCGTCCCTTCTCTCTCTTCCTCCTCTGTCTCATCAACATCTTTTCTCCCATCGGTCTCTTCCATGCTGTTGTACTGTCTTTTCTCTAGATTTTCTTCATCCAACAGAACTTCCGCTGTCTCCTCAACCACTCCTTCCTCTCCTTCTAATTTCTCCCCTTCCTCTTCCTCGTCTGCTGTCATCTCTTCCTCTGTTACCTTCTTTTCTTTCTCAACTGATTCCTCGACACTTCCTTTCTCTGCTTTCTGCCCTTCAACATCTTCCATCACTGCCTCCTCTTTACCATCATCATCATTTGTCTCATTAGTTTCTCCATCCTCTCCTGCCTTCTTGTCCTCCCTGTCCTCCTCTACCTGGTCTTCATCTTCTTCATCTTCTTCTGTCTCATTTTGTTTGACTTTCAGTGCCTCATCTTGTTCTGTCTGTGAAATTTCTGAATCTTTCACATCATTGCCCATTTCCTGATCTTCATCAGGTTCTTGATCTGACTTTCTATCTCCATCATCATTATCCTGTGTCCTTCCTGCTACGTTTTCATCTGCGCAGGTGTCATCAGGATCTGTTAACTTTGCTTCATCATTGGATTCATCAACAAACTTCTCCAAGTCTTCCTCTGATTCCGACTGGTTTCTTTCAGTTTCTACCAAAGTGCTCTCTTCCGGCGGGTAAAAACTTCTAGCCTGTTGGATTGTTGAGGAAATTTCTGATCTGAGGTCTTGAGGCATATTCAGCTCCTCCATCAGCTCATCTATAGTCAGATGTTGATCCTCAAATATATCGCTACCTTCCGAGGCAAGGTCCAGGGCAAACTCGGTTTCTGAAACTTTGGGAGAAAGTGGCTCACTTTCAAGCCTTTCCCTCAAAATCTGGAAATCCTTCCATCGTTCTCTGAACTGAGAAGATGAGCTGCTCTGCAGGTTTGTCAGACTTGCCCTCAGCTCTTCTTTGTCCTCAATGGCAGATATTTTCATTAGGGACTGCATCATTAGCATGGCCTCTGAGGTGCTTCTCGGTTGGTCGCCATCGCCTGGAGCAGAGACCGTTAGGTCGTCTCTCAGAGTCATGACTGACAAGAAGGACACAAATGCTTTGCATGATGAGCCGAACACTGACGCTACTTGTGTTGAGAAATCAGGGAGGCTGTTGGACTTCTCAAGGTTATATGTCGTGTTGTTGTCTGACGCCCTTCTGATGTTCTGAATGGATGAACAAAGTTGCCGCAGGACAGGTGATATCTTTTCTTTAGGACTTAAAATGTTGGACGTAGTTGACTCACTGCCAGTTGGGCCAATCATTTCTGCAGATTTATGTGCCCTCAGTTGGTTCTCCTGGTTTGCAGGTTTAACTCTGACACTTGGCATAGAAACACTGTGCACCAAAGATGTTTCTGGCTGTCCTTGGTAAAGAGGAACCAATAGACAAGAAGCAGATTTCTTGACATTATCACCAGGCAGTGGGTAATAGTCAGCCAAATTATTGTGATATCCATTCTTTTCATCTGATTCTGACTCACCGCCTATCTGAAACACCACCGTTGACGGAGGTTCGGATTTGTCTGGAATTGCCTCGGTGTACGGCACCTGGTCCTGGCTGACTGTCTCCAACCAGTTCTCGACATATTGGTGGATTTCAGAGGGCGTAGGATTCAGGGAAGGCATTGAAACACTTTCACTTGTCTCCAAAGCTTTTTTAGCTGATGACATTCTGTTCTCTGTCATGGATTTGGGTTTACTCATTGTCTTTTTGCTTTGCAGAAGTGCTTTTTTCGGTTGTAATATATCTGAGATGTTCTTTTTCATTTGAGGCCTTCCACTTGGAGTATTTACATTGTGGCCATTATCTCTAGCAACTACTTCATTTATGCCTTTTCTCTTAGGGGGGGTTATTTTTACATTTTCGGTTTTGTCTAATAAGGATGAGCTTTTCCTGGGCATCTTTTCATGTTTAATAGTTTTCTTAGACTGAAGCTTTTCTGCTTTATTTTCCAATTCTTTACTTTTTTGGCCACTTTTAGCACTTTCTGATGAGCCCAAACTCTTTTTCCCCACACTGGTATTGCTGCTTACTTTGTCAGTCGAATTTTTGCTACTTTTTGAAGTTGAACTCTTTTGATTCAGAGCAGGTTTATTCATTTTTTTATTCTTTTTGCTTTTTTGAGTTTTGTCACTTTTTACTGTATCCTCAATCCGGGAGTTTCTTGCTGTTTGAGCATCGTCCTCAGTCACTGTAGACAGATTGTTCGTAATCTCATGTGTTGGAGATATTGGTTCTGATGACAACGATAACATCTCCTCTTTCAGTCGTAGTGAGTCAGCAGTGGGGGGCTGCCTGCTAAAATCTATATCACAATCATTGCTGGAAGAGCGTGGCCCTGACTCAGTGGACGGCTTGCTATTTGGCCCTGAAGAGGAAACATGCAAAGGTGCGCCATCTGTGCTGTATTCCTCATTTGCATTATAGTTGTCATAGCAGCCTTGACTCTCGTAGATATGCATGACAGTTTCTTTAACCTCCATCCCGTTATTCTGTATCTGAAGGACCTCAGCAACTCCTGACGACCTGATGGAGGAGTGGGAGCCTTTCTTGCCTTTTCCAGCAGAGGCCGTTTTCCGAGGTTTTGGGATTGGTCGGCTGCTGCTGCTGCTGCTGTGTCTAACAACGCAGTATCCCTCAGTTGTCTCACCATCAGCCGTCCTCGCCATGTAGGAATAATGTCCCAGGCTGCTCTCTTGAATCCCAGACTCTGTCACCATCTTCACACTCTCAACAGACGCCGTCTTCTTAACGTGTCGAGGACCTGGCGTAGGAGCGCGTTTGATGATCGTTTTGGCTTTTCCCAAAGCTTTTGAATTGTAGTTCTTGTACACATGCTTGTCGTTAAAGCAGACACCCTTTCCAGCTCCATTGGGATGGTTTTCTTCTTTACTGTCACCTTCGCTGATGCTAGAGGAGTCTTTGGCGTTGTTTGAGTCAGGTGAACTGTTGCCTGACTCAGAAATCGAGGCACAAACTGTCCTCTTGCTAAGGCAGTGGCGGCTGAGCGTGGTGGTCCAGTGGAGCATCTCCTCCTCTTTAATGGTCAGACGCACTTTCATTACTACAGTCATGCTGCCATCTTGATTCACACAGAAAGACTTTTCAATGTCGTCGTCTTGAGGTAAGATGCAAGTGTGATGCTCATTCTCTACTCTCCCTCTCTGGTTGACCTCGGTATCAAATGATTCATTGTGGTGATGCAGGTGGCTGTTCGTGCTTCCATTTCGAGACTTGTTTATTTGGTTGATAACATATCGCTCCGACGATAGGGAGAAGTTTCTTGAGCCTCTTCCACTTGAGAAGGATTTGTTGTTTTCTTTGGTTGGAAGTAGAAGATGTTTGTGAAAGAAGTTGGAAACAGAAATGAAGAGAAAAAGCTGCTTTAGGAAATAAGAAAAGCATAGTGTAGTATCTATAGTAGTTTGTTAGGACTATTTGGACATTTTAGGAAATATCATCTCAAGCTAGTTAGAAGAGAGGATAAACACCACTTGCATATCTGTCAATAACTAATTAAGTTAACTTAGCATAAAGACCAGAACCAATAAAGTCAACAGGAAATCACTGTGCTGGGCCAGAAAAGACACTAGCACTTAATCATCACACTAACACAGCTTGTTTTTATCTCTACAGATTAAACATACAACATATAAAGTGTTGATGAGTGAGATTTAGAGATGCTAGTTATATCTGCTATCTTATTTTCTTATCTCTAGACAGAGCTAAGCTAACTTCCTCCTGTTTCCATTCTCGTTTCCTGACTCTAACCTCATACTTTGTGTACTGTTCATGAAAGAGTTCTCATCTGTCTGTCAGGTTCAACCTCACTAAATATGTTGTGGACCTTTTTGTGACTATAGACATGCATTACTTGGAGTTTATATATAAAATGTATTAAAACTTACGAGCTCTGGGCTGCAACATAGAAGGCTCTGAACTTTCCATGTACAAGGCCTGTGCCGTCTGGCCCGTTCTGTGAAAACTGTAGTTTCCTAATCTGAATGGCTCATTTCCCGCTGCCACAACAACTCCGGAGCACAGGATAAGTGCAGCAAGACCGTCAACCTGAAACAAGAGGAGAAATAAGTTTGACATTTGAGTCAACGTCTGAGGAAACAGTGGTTTGAATTGGCCATTTACTTAATTCATGCACAATTATTGGACTCTTGGTCGAAATTGAAAGTTGCAATATCACTTGCAAGTTAAATCTATTTCTTCATACCACGTGTTATTATAATACAGTCCAGACATCACAGATGGTGATTAAAACTCTGTGATGCATTTAAAGGTTGCGTACTCATGACCTTTAACTTGTTGTTTTTGTGAGAGTTCATCTGGGATTATAGAGATAACTCACCAGGAGGTAGAGATTTTGATGGCACCTCTTAGCACTTCTTGGAATACTTACAATGCATAAGGTAACAGATAAAATTAAAAGTCAGGATTTCCTGAGACATTGAACATACAAGTGTGAGATAAAACTTTGTGACAATCACAAGCTAACTCAACTCTATATCACTCACAGTCATTCAGTTCTGTTGCACAGCACCAGGCAAAACAATCAAAAAACTTAACTCACAAAGAAGCAAGGTCCAAATAGTCCTCTACAGTCTTCAAATACTTCTTGACAACAATTTATGTTTTGATGTTTTTAAAACAAAATGATAAAGTCTGAACATCGTCCGTTCTACACCACCGTCATGTGTGGTTGTGTCTGTCTGCCTAAAGCTTTTTGATCTAAAGACACTATCCTATTTGTGTGACCCAGACAAACCTTTGCTTTATATAGCCTTAGGCCGAAAGAAAGCGTATCCAAGGACAACAACTGAGTCATAACCATGAATTAACACACCATGGCGCTAACGGACAGAAAAACATTTCCTGTTTTGAAGAGAAGTGAAAAACTAATTTTTATAGAATCTAAGAATATCAACTCCCCTCTCATTGCTCTTTGAGTGGGGTTTGGGGTGAATAACTCACACAAAGCTAACATTTCACCAATTCCACAAAAGCATCTGCAGTTTATAATATTTCAAAGAGTTAATTTGAACTAACTTTGATCTATCATCATTCCAACTTTCAGTTTTCAAAACACTCACTCTCCTGCCGTCGGTGGAGAAGAGTTTCAACACTGGGAACTGCAGGATCTGAGAGAGGTAATCCAGCAAAGCATCAAATGTTGGTGCCGTTCTTCTCTGCAACACAATTGTGCATTTAACTGTGGGATCTTTGTTCTTGACGACCACAAGTCTTTTCGGTGTCCGCAGCGTCATCCTTTCGCTGACCTTTGTTGGCCTGTTGACGACCTCATTCCTCCCCCTAAACTGACCGAACTGGAAACGTCTTCGCCGCCCAGTGCTCAGGGGTCTGGTGGTATTCCACGGTACCTGCCGCCGGTTTACTTCAGCCAGGTTTAGTGGCTTCACCCGTTTCTGATCAGAACACACATAAGATCCCCCATCGTGAAAGTCATCCAGACCCTTAACAAGGTGGATCCCGCGAGGTGTGGTGATGGTCCTCACTCCGAATGGCAGAGGCACTTTCTTGGACAAAGCATCGAGCAGAGCATCAAACGTCTTGAAGGTGCGGGCGTTGATGACCATGCGATGCCCGCTGAATTTATAGTCACCACTTTTGTAGAAGCACAATCGTTTGGACGCTGAGGGATCAGAGATGGGCTGTAAGGGTCGGCAGGGTAATGTCTGCCCGCTGCCAGAGGACAGTTCCAGGACAGCTGGGTCCTGGAGGGGCGTGTTGCTCATTTTGAGGAGTGGTCTCTAGAAAGAAAGTATAGAGGGAGAGAGTTGTTACTAGAGTAACTTATTTTGAAGAATTAGTTTCACCCCCTACACTCATGTATTTTCCTCCTTGAGACTCAACTTCTGGAAATAGTCTGTTGTGAAAACTTCCTTAAAGCCATTGACCATTAGAATTCATTAT